TTCTAAAAAAACGAAATTAAAAATTGTAATGCGAATTTCTCTGGTTGTTCTGGGAAGTTATTCAGATGAGAGTTATTTTAAGTCTAGTACACCCTTAAGATGAAAAATTAAAAGATTTTGAATTAAGAGTCCGAAAAAAACCTGGCACCTAAATTTGCACGTCAAGTAGCAGAAACTTCTAATGTTTACGCTCAAAGATGAACAAAAATATTAAAAATATTATATGAAGACATTCTATCGTTGTCAGGTTTTTTCGGACTCTTAAAGAAATCAAAGGTAAGATTATTTTAGTGTTTGTTTCATTCAATTCCGTCAAGTTATTCAAAAGTTATTCAATTATAATTTAATAACTTTTTTGTTTATAAAAATTTTGTATAAATATAATATGAAAAATTTTTTCGTTTTTTTATGCTGAATTTTTTCCAAAAAGAATTAAGTGATTTGGTTAAGATGAAAAGGACATCTCAAAAACTACTGAAATTTTGACGTAATATTGGGTGGAAATATTTCTTTTTATGTCTAGATTAAAATTCCTAATTTCATTGCAATTGGTTTACTTACTCCGAAAAAACTACAATCTCCCATGGAATCGCACCTTAATAACCTTAATTGCAATTATTATAAAAAATTGGATTTTTGAAGGGTTATAATTGTAAGTTTCAGAAATTAATTATTAAATTTCAGAAAGTCTTACATTGAAATTTTTAAAATTTTATTTCTCGTTAAAAAACAAAAATAAGAAATATTTATTTAAGTTTTTGAATAATTGGATTTGGAAATCAGTGAAAGATTAGGGAAATACAAAATAAACTTTTTGTGTCAGCACTGAATTAAATAAAAGACTTTTTTGACATATTTTTATTTTTTAACCACTTAAACGGCATGGAGTCAGAATTGACGTCGAGCGTGGAAGTGACAAAAGCAGGAAAAATACGAAAATGGCGTCAAAACTGGAATACGATTAAATCCAATTTGCTAAGTCTGTAAAGAGATTTATAATATCAAAGCCTTATCAATATTCTTGTTTTCTGAGGTTAATATGACCAAAGAAAAATAATATTCTTTTTTGAACAAATTCCATAACAGAAATTTGATTTATTGGGATCGAAATTTTAACGCCATCAGTAAAAAAGTATTGATAGTTGTCAACTTTTAAACTTTGAAAAATTATTTTAGACTTCGAAAAAATGATTTATTATGCTCGTATGCGTGTTCCTTATTTGTGTCAAATTTTCTGCATTTTTCTATATAAATAATTCTGTAAAAATACATTTATTAAATTCACCATAAAAACTATGTCATCCTTTTGTAATGGAGGTAGAGCACTCTAATACCTACTTGTCATACTTTACTTACAATTAGAAAATTATGTACAGATGTACATGATGTTTCTGCTAAGGTAAAGTAACATTGCTTCAATTGCCAGTTAAATAAATTTTTTAAGTAAAAACCGCTATTATTACTGTCATTTAAATTATAAATACGTTATACAAGACAAGAGACACGGAGTTTTAAATACTCGCGTGTGTAAATGTAGTAAAACTATTACAACCACGTGCTTTTACCTCGCTTTTACATTTTTCACTTAATTCTGCTTTGCAACTTATTTATTTTTTAAACTTATTTCATGTTTAATTAAGTGAAGATTACTTTTGAATTCTGATGTTTAGAGGGAAAAGGCAATTAATTTAATGCACTTTTTATTGTCGGTTAGTTCACCGTAAAATATCACATATCCCGTGTGTTAATACACACTTTTTTCCCTCGGCGAAATTTCTACACGAGAATGTAGACGCTGTAAAATATTACAAATTTCTATCATACCCATCATTATTTAAATCAAATATCTCTTGTGACGTCGATTTTTAAAATTACGCTGAAAATCTGTAGGTACAGATCTCGAGAAAATTAATTAAATATAGTAATTGTTTGGTATGTATGTAGAATTGTATTTCGAAGGGAAATAATGAAGACAATAATTGATAAGCCCGTAGGAAGTGAAGAATTCCGCCTGAGAGGCAATGGGTGTGCCAGGAAATGTAGGATTACGACGCCGCGCCGTTCTGTTGAACACAACGCAACGCCTCTGCGATTTTTTGTCAACTCTTAACTATTCGCGCTAATTGTACCGCTCACAATTAGTGGTTAGATTTAACCTTCACTTCGAAGCTCTGTGATCCCGGAGATGTCCCCAAAGCTCACCATATAATTTATCAATTGCCTTTCTGTGACCTTTTTAAATCAATTATTATTTATATTGAGACAAAAAAACCGTTTTCCGTGCTAACTTGGAATTTGTTGTTAAGCGCACATCATTCATTTTTTTGGTTCTTCGTCACGAAACAATTTCTCCGTTTTCTATTCCCTTTTCTGTCATTTTCATTCATCATGCAATCTGTAAGACAGTAAAAAAATATTAAAATTAATAGTTGAAAAGATTTCTTTTCCCCTATAAAAAAAATACGTTCGTCACGTATTTTTTCTTTAATTAAAATAACCCACTTTCTTTAATGAGAATTTATTAATTTATTCCAATTTTAGCCCTGAAGAATGTCGTGGAGTTTTGTTCAAGGAAAAGTAACGCATATATATTAGAATATTTTTATTCACTGAAGAAAGAAATTGTACATTTACATATCACCTTTGTGTCTTGGAGCTTGACTTTTATTGGAAAAATGAAGTTAAAATAATGCCTGTAATCTAAATATGAGTTTGATGTGGGGTGCAGATAAGAGAATATCGTATGAATCATATAGAAACGCAATTCCCACTGTGTAATTAAGTGCTTCAGTATCATGAGATCTGTGAATTTCCCCAAAATTTCGAGAATAATTATGAATTGTTCCAATTTCGAATTTCGAAATTTGGGGTCACTTTTATGAAGTTGTAAAAATAGTGAAAAGAAGTAAAAGTACGTGAAGAGTTTCGTAATAGAATATCTTGAATTTTCTCAGAATGATTGTATAATTGACTAAAGAGAGGATTTGTATTGTTGTCGTGGGAGCGTAATGAATATTAGAATTATTAGAGGTATGAAATGGAGTCCGTGACATACTGAAAAAATAGATGGTTATTGTCATCTTTTTATATTTGAATATGTCGGGAAATATAGTGTATATAAATTTGTTTGCTTCAAGAAAGATGAATGAATAGCTCTCGCGTGCCAAAATTGAATGCCAACTCATTGATGCCGCTAACAATTTTGTCTTTAACTATACATATAGAGACAACTCGGATGAGGAATTGTATAGGGAGCAGGAGCGAACGATTCACTAGGTTTAATTACTCACTAAGCATTATGCTCGTTATGCACTGACGCATGTGGGGCGCGTTACATCAACAAAGAACAACGCTCCCAATGTGAGAACACGTGCCGTGCATCTCGTCACTTTTCAAAAGGGTAAAATGCTTTTCTTATTCTCATTAGCATAAATTTCATCTTACCCGAAATTTATTTTTCTCATTACGGTAAAGTTAATATTCTTTTAATATAAATCATTTTAATGTATCTTCTTTAAAATTCAGCAGATTCATTATTTTAAATATTAAACTCTAAACCTTCGCGCTACCGAAGAATTTTCGTGTACGTCAACTGCAAGGGCCTACCCGAAATGAAACTGAAGTTACCAACGTTTGTTCGACGAAAAATATAATACGTAATAATTTCCATTTCCCCGCCTCAGATCCAATTCTTTTCCACTTTTATTATAAATACTAATGTTAGAAGCCATTAGAAATTATTTTCAAGTGGAACCAGGTCGGGGAGGGCAATGATTTTGACATTTTTTTGTTACCGATTTTTCGAAAATTCAGAAATTTCGAAACAATGTCTATTTCCCCGCCTCAGATCCAATTTTTTTTCCACATTTATTATAGATACTAATATTAGAAGCCATTAGAAATTATTTTCAAGTGGAACCAGGTCGGGGAAGGCAACGATTTTGATTTTTTGGCACGGATTTTTCGGATTTTTTAAAAAATCCGCGACAAAAAATCAAAATCGTTGCCTTCCCCGACCTGGTTCCACTTGAAAATAATTTCTAATGGCTTCTAATATTAGTATCTATAATAAATGTGGAAAAAAAATTGGATCTGAGGCGGGGAAATTGTTACGTTTTATAATTTTCGACGAACAAACGTTGGTAACTTCAGTTTCATTACCCGAAGTAGTCATTTCGGGTAGGAATTTTTTCGAACTAATAGAGTTTGGTACTCTGCATCAGGGGGTCATCTCGGTATTTTGCATAATTTTGATAAAAAATTGTTCAAACATTCGACAACAATTTTGCGAGGAAATAATTTTATTAAGGATTGAAATTGGACCCAACACCGCTCCATACATTTTTTACAGTGTATGATTTCTAAACGATATACCTAAAAGAAAATTGAAAAATCGTCTCATAAATTTAATATTATTTATTATTTCAAAAGATCTTTATAACAAAAGTAGACTCAAAAACATTTTTAATATATTATGGAATTCTAAAAACTGGATCAGTATAAAAATCAGTTATAGGACGCAAAGTGTGTGTAGATTCATGAATTTTTGATAATTTATAAAAAATTGCAGCACAGCCATTTGTGCAATTTAAGAATCCCTAATGTTGGCATGGTCGTTGAATCAAACAATTTTACCAACGGTTTTAGACAACAAATGAAATAAAGAATGAAATGAAAGAGGTGAATTTAGTAACATTTTTATCACTAAAAACAAGAAAAAATAATTTTTGACGCTGAGTGTGGACGCCAACTTCAGAGGCGTCCACACAGGCGATTTAAATAATATAATTATATTTTAATTTAATCATAAACTCTCTTAAAAAATTTGTTAAAGCAGATTGAATATATCATGTAGGGTCAGATACTCAGATTTTAATTTTAAATATCACCAATCTTGTTATCATTGTAATTTTGTTAAGTCTAATTTAATGTTGTGTATTCCAATTTTAGTGCTACCTGAAGTAGCAATTAATGAATTGTAATTGATGTTTTGTTTTTAGGGTTTTGAAACCACCTGGTGGCGGCAGCAGCGACATTTTCGGCGCCTCAGCAGAGGAGACCAGCCCTCGCCGTGTGAAATCACATCAGGCTTCTCAATTGGGTTCAGCGCTTTTCGGCGACAATGCCAGAAACGGTCCAAGTCATAGCACTAATGGACCGGACACACCAAGGGTCACCAACAAGCCCGGTAATGATTCTTACAAACGTCTGTTTGGTCCTCCCGATGCCCTACCCAACCAAAATTCGAAAAATCACATGAAGAGCAATATTCCCCTCAGCGGTGAGAGCACAACTGTTGTTTCTCCTGCAAAAAGCACGTCCAGCAGCAATGGTTCCATCTGCAACGGAACTATTTCAAACGATAACTTGCTCATCAATGACAATACAGGTAATTAACCACTAATGATGACGATTGGATTAACAGCTATCTTCAAATATGTGCGCTTTTAAACAAGTTACACACACTAGTTGTACTGCAGACTCACTATTTATTTATTATCAAAAAAACACATTCTCTTTTGCATACATTTTCTCAATTTTCTCCATTTTCTCCATTTTCTCATTCTTTTAAATTCAAGTATTCCTGGCAGTCAAAAGAAAACTTTTTCAAAATATTTAACACAAAAAAACACGGCTCATTTTTTATTCGTTTCAAGTTATTTTTTATACAAGTGCGGAAAATAGGAAATTTCAAAAAGGGAACACAAATATCACATCAAAATTATTAATTTAGAATATTTATTTCAGAGAATTTTCATACAGCTGAATTTTAAATCTTTTCTTTAAAAGATAGAAAATATAGTTACAAATTGATTTTTTTATATCTTTTCTTGAAAAGTTAAAAAGTTTAATTTTTAACATTTTAAACAATCAGAAGTTGCATATTTTATATTTTATACTCTCTCACCCAATAAAAAAAATTGTGTTCAAGAAACGTAAAAAATAATAAAAGATTGAGTGTTCTGAGAGTGTAATATTCAATTGGAAGTTACATTTAAATAAAAATTATAATTTTGCCATTAAAAATTTCATTCGTTTTTCTTTAAAGTTTCTTTAACTTTATTTAAAAATTTAATGACCCAATTATTGAACTTGGGCTATTCGATGTTTGCTACAAAATATTAATAGAGTCACTAGTAAAATATCACAACGAAAAGAAAAGAATGTAATAGTAAGCTAGCATATTCTCTTCTTTTCGCTGTGACAATCAGCTACTGACACTATTCATATTTTGTAGCAGACAAAATTTTTCATCGCAATTTTTTAAATTGACCAATCAGAAATTATTTAAAGATACTTCCAATTTAGAAGTAAATCTTTAATAAATTTTTAGGAAACTTTCGGGGCTGAGTAGGATGGGTCAATTTATTTTAAAATTTGCGCAAAAATCCTTCTGTCGGATGTTTTTTCAGAGAAATGAAAATTCCGTCAATTTATATTTTTGGCATGTAAAAGTTTGACTCAATAAAATTCTGTTAACTGATATTTTCGCTAAATTAAATAATGATTATTTCAGATGTGACGCGCTTCCTTGAAAGGTTCCTAAGAAGCAATTAATTTTAGGTTATGTTTATAATTTTTTGATTGAAAATACAGAAAGACAATCAATTACTATTACAAATTATTAACGTTCAAAATAATATTTAATAAAATGATTTCAAATTTATAGAAATAAAAAGGAATTTTTAAACAAGATAAATTTAACATAAACATAAACTACAATTTGTTTACTTCTTAGGTACCTTTCTTGGGGGTGCGTTACAGATTTCTTTTAAATAAAAGTAGTTTAATTAGAAGTTTTGTAAAATAAAATGCAATGAAATATAAATAAATAAACATTAATAACGTTATATGAAAATTCTTCGTAATAAAATTCTGTCTAATAAGTAATAAATATTTTAACTATTAATTCTCATGGGATATTCATGCGCCCCTTTCACGAGTGTTGTAAATCACATGAGTAAATTTTCCTATTTTACGCGCGTCTGTCAAACACCATTTTTTACAGTACTCATTCGTAATATTGAATTCAGCAAATACATAAACAATAAACGAAGTGTTAAAGATGACGCATTAATTAATTTTTTATTAATCAACACATTTCTTTGTTTTTAAAAACTATTGTTGCCATGAAAGTTTTTTTCCAATTACAATATTTTGAAAAGAGGAGAAAAAATGTCTGCCAGGAATTTTATTTTTTTTTTATCAAGTTGGATAAAATCTGAACAAGTAAATAATATAATTTAAAAATATGAAAACAATGAAAGGGTTACTATCTGAAAGCTTTTTCTCGAAGAATATTATAAAGTATTCACATAAATATTTTTCAAGTTATTTAATAAATTTTGTTTAAAAGACAAATAATAATTCTTATGATTAATGTTTAAATTAATATTTTAATATGTAAACTGTTTACTCTTAAAATTACATGACAATTAACGCAAAATATTAAAAAACAAAAATAATTTATGAAATACAATTTTTTTCTTAATTTTGTAATTTTCCTCTTGTATTAAAAATGTTTTAAAAATAAAGATTCAATCCCTTGACATTACCTCAACTAAGTAAGTTGAAGAAATAAATTTAAATTGTTTCCTTTGCTTTTAAAAAACCACTTTTTAGTTTGATGTTTTGTCCGTGGGTTGAACATAACTAATAACTTTTAATAACCAAACGAGAGTTTAGATTCAAATTATTAAATTAATAATTAACCCGAATGTTAAATTATAATAAGGCTTCAGAGAAGTGCCCATTTTATTAAATTGAAAAATGTCTTTTAAAAGATGAGACCTGAAAGCAAACAGCGTCGAAAAATCATATTTCTGGATCTTATTTTGTTGCAATGAAATTAATAATTCCTTGACATGAAACATTAAAATAAATTATTACAGTAAATAATCTAAAAAATTGTTCAATGTTCCGCTTAATTTATTTATCATTTGTTCTTCAATTACCATTATGATGATGCTGTTTGTCTTGGGGTTTAAATTTCACAATTACTGAGTAAATTTGCTCGTTTATTCATGTGAGAGAGGAGAAAATGTATTATTATCAATATTGTAAAGAATTTTATTAATTGTCTTTTTTCTGCCACCCCGCTTATAACTGTCCACATGCAGCATTTAGGAGAAAGAAAAGATTTCGTAAGTGTATCACGTTAAGTCAGACACTCTTTCAACTTCTCACGTTTACCGCAATAAAACAAATTCACAGTTCACTCACATTAGTTTTTTTTCAAATATTAGTAGAATCAGAGTAAGAAAATAAAGAATAAATAAAAAGAGAATTTTGTTACAAAACTCAAAAATTTCACTCCACAAGTTTTTAATGTACGTTTTTAAAGCCTGACGTTATATAGACGAATCCACATATTTTAAGTTAGTAATCCATCGTTAGTCATTGTTTTGTAAATATATTTTACGGCACATTGCTTTGCTTTCTGGAAAATATGTTTTTCAAGTTTTTTTTCCACTTTTTTTATTTTCAGTATTTGTGTGTTTTATGGTTTTTATTTAAAAGAATGCTGTTTATACTGCTTTTTAAAAATATTGAAAAAATTAAAAAAAACCGATGGTAATAAAATTGAAAGACATTTTTTACTATGGCTAACATCTGCTTCATTATCTATATTTTAGTTTTTGCATCAGTAACAGTATTTTTTGCTCTTTCATATACTTTCTCACTAAGTTTTGGGCTGACGAATCGAAAGTACATTTTCCATGAAATAAGTTTTTTTATATTGTTATTTTATTATACGTCCAATTCCTGTTTGGTTTTTAATTTTACTTATTACATAAATCAGTTAATTTAAATTTTTAAACGTATATTTAAATTATAATTTTAATCTTTTTGGGTATATTCGGAATTACGAAAATTAGTTCCACATCTGGTTCTAATCTGCTTGATCCGATGCATTTCAAAATAGAAACCCTGTGAGATTTTCTGTGGTTCAGCTTTTAACATGCACCATACATTTTTTTATACTATTTCTATTTATTCAAGTTGGCATGATACGTCATTTTCGTTTAAAAGCAGAAATGGTTTACTATGAAATTAAATATTATTATAAAATATTACAATTTTTTTTAATAAAAAAATATGAAGGGAAATTAGTGCAAATCATTTTTCATGAAAAATAGGAAAACAGAGAAAAACAGTAAATCAAACAGGAATTCTGGTTTATAATGAAAAATACATTAATAAAATTAAATTATTATTGTAATCGCATTAATCATTAAAATAGAAATGTTTTCTCATTCTTTTTTTTGTAAGGGCATTAGAAAATCGACTGAAGGCACTGCCACAGCTCGCTGCTGCCTGCGCAGGCAGCTGAGATACAATGAGAGTGAGGGAGAAAAATCATGAATTTGAATTTTCTTTCTCCCCTACTCTCATTGTATCTCAGCTGCCTGCGCAGGCAGCAGCGAGCTGTGTCAGTACCTTAAGATTTCGAAAAATTTCTTCAGAAAATTAATATACCTAACAATAAATAAAATAATGAAATTAATAATTTATATATAATGTAACGGGTCAGTCGTTCACGTGGATATTGTATTCTAGGAAAGATGAAGGAATAGATTGTTATAAATACATTTTGCTTCCTCTTTGCGATCAGCAACAAGATTTACTTCCTCGTGAAGAAAGCATTAACATTATTTCATTCTATAAATATTGTTTTACGAATAAATACATTTTAATGCAATGAATTTTAATTTTAATTTTTAATTGTGATTTTTTAATTATTATTAATTCTCTAAATTTTTAATACAGTTTATACTTTATATATAGACCAATCGATTCGCCTTGATGCAAGTAATAAAATTTTATTGTACACGGAAAAAAAAATCAGCCTAATAATGCATGGAGTCTATTGGTTCGATTTTTACATGAGCCCATTTTGCAAATATCACACAGGAGTTTACTAAAAATGCATGGCTTTTGTGACTTTTGCCACAGCACCATGCGAAAATAGGATGGATTCTAAGCTAATCACGCATGGTAGTGTGCGTGCAATATACACAACAGACGCTCATGTGTTTTTAGCCTAGTATTTTTTTCCGTGTATGAAAAACGAAAAATTTGTTTATATTATGTTTATACAAAATTTTCATAAACAAAAAAGATATTAAATAATAATTGAATAATTTTTGAGCGCGCGCATCTAAATTAATTAGTTTACTTTCTTCGAAATATCAGAAATTTTACTTGGAGTCGCACATTAAAGAAATTTTAAATCTCCTAAACTTTTCATGTAACGTTCAGTCAACTTTTGTGTCAAACATTAAAAAGAGTGAATAACATTTAAAGAATTATTTAAAGTTTAATGAACTTCGCAACCAAAGAGTCTGAAGGTGTTGCAATCAAGTTAATTTCGACTTTTAGGAAACTTTCAGTGCTGTGTGGGGTGAATTACTTCAGGGTTGCCACAGGTTCCAAGTCTCGCGTTCGTCCCCTTATTGCAGCCAGCCCTTCAATTTTGTAAATCTTTGAAATATCTGAATTTTTCATACTTTTAATTAAAAATTCTATGGAAGTAATTTTTTTCTAAAAGCTTAATCGAAATTTTTAAAAATTATTTCACGTTTTTATTTATAATCGTTTTTGTCAGTAATTGCCAAAAACGCCCAAAAAGTTATAACTGATTATTTAGAGAAAAACATTTTTCAAAAAGAATTCAAGTCGATTTAATTCTAATGCCCTAAGAATAAATTTGATTTGTCGTACAATTAATCTTTTTTTGAGAGAAGCAAAGTTTTCATTGTATAGTACTGTAAATTCGCCAGCACGAATTTTGGAAACACTAACAGAACAAAATGGTTTGGTTTTGGTGGGGGGTGTGATATTTTTTATTTTGGGGCGTTGTTGGTGCATGGGATGAATCTATCTGTGGGCTTTATCCGTTGTGTGAATTTGGTGGCGGCTCGACTCGGCTCGGCGTGTCCTGCGATGTTCCTGCAGGAGGAGCATCCTGCATGCCACGCAACCCAGTCACTGGAGACGGAGTTGACGTGACGCCAATTAGGCGCACCGCACGAAAGTGTAGAGGTAATATCCCCTTGAACAAAAAAAAACATTTCATATCCTTTCTCTCCCGATATCATCTCCATATATTTTTAGTTGATAAATCATTTTTTTTAATTTTCATTAATGATGATTGCGTACTTGATTTTTCTGCTGTGTGGTTTTATTTTTTAAAAGTAGTTTCTGGACTTAATAGTTTACAATTAAGATATTTTAAGACTCATATTTTCTTCAATCCGATAAAATGTTTGAGAATTTTGTGCTTATTCGGGAGAAAATTTGTTGAGTCAAAAAAATGTTATAGGATATATAGAATAATTTAAATAGTAAATATTCTATAGAATTTCACTATAACAGTTCAGTAAAATGTATACATAAATTCTAGTCAATATTGAAGGTGTTTATACACCGTGTGGTATAAATTTATTCTCTGCGCGCATAAACGGAAATATTCTCCACGAGCATATATTTGCGCCTGCGCAAAATGTTTGCCTACAGCTGTGTAGTGAAAGGCTTTGCCTTGACCAGGTGTTTGCGCAGGCGCGAATATATGCTCGTGGAGAATATTTCCATTTATTCGCGCAGAGAATAAATTTATACCACACGGTGTAAACACCTTCATTATAGGTAGAAATTTACACTCTTTTTACAGATATATTTCATATATTGATAATGAAATTTGTCCTTTTCTTAATTTCGCGCCAATACAGTTCATTAAATTACCGCCTAGATGGCATGAAAATTCTCTCATAAACGAAATTATTCTTATTTTTGTTTACGTTAAAAATTATGTTTTAGTTTTAAAACGTCACCGTTGATAATTTAAAGAAAATTTCGAAAGTTATTTTCTAAAATGAAAAATTCTTCATGTAAATTCATTGATTTTTAAAAGTCTCATGTAGAAATGAAAAAACTATTTAGGTGTTGTTTAGTAATTATGATGTCATTTATGATTATTATTGCTATTGATAATTGAAATGAATAAAAATTAGAGAAAGAGGCATTAAAGGTAAAATTAAAATTATGACAGTTGTTAGTTTAGGAAACAAACAACAGACTACTAATAAAGTTTTAATAAGAAGAAAGGGTAGTGAAATGCCAATGTTTTAATATTTTTAAAAGTAATTATGAGGTATAAAACAATTTAAAATTGCTAAAAAAAAGGAGGCTTGGATAATTTTAAAGCTTTTATAATGATTAATTTTAAAAATGTTAAAACTTTGGAGATCACTACTCTTCCTGATTATATTTTAGACTTCCTCACAAAATTATCAGCTCAATTTATTCAATATATTATAAGAAAAAGATAAAATTATCAAATTTCATTGAGTACCGATTAATTATTTAAGTTGCTGAAGTTGGCATCGATGCCAACTTTAAACTAATTTCACTTCTTTCATTCAATTAGAAAGTAAAAAACTTTTTAAGAATTTTGAACCTTGGTTTGAACCTTGGGAAAAACTTAGTGATTTTTTCTGTTTCATAAAAAAAATATATTTCGATACTGAGCAACTTTTATAAAAATATATTGAAAAAAATTCATCTTCTTAGAAATAATCAAATTAAAATTGAAAAGATTGTTTTATTTACACTTCCGCTGAAAATACTATATACAGTAGAACTTCGATAAGTCGAAGTTTCGAAGGAAACGCTGAAAACTTCGAGTTAAAGAGGTTTCGACTTATATAGGTTTCTGAAAATATAATTCGACATATCCCAGTAAACGAAAACTAATTGAAATGAATTAAAAAGAATTCACAAAGAGCTTGAGTGAATCCCGCTTTGTGACAAATACGAATTGGAGCCTACCAAAAATGTTAATTCGTTTCAATTCATTTGAATTAGTTTTTTTTTACTGGGATATAGAGGTTTTCACATACTGTATATTTATACACAATAGAAAAGTTTCTATACTTACGTTTGTTAATATATTACTATTAACATTATTATTAACTAGCCCAAATAACGCGCGCTAAGGGGCCGTCCATAAATCACGTGATGCTATTTTTGACCATTTTTGACCCCCCACCCCCCCCATGTGATACACTATTGCATGTATTAGCGCCATTTTATCTGCAAGTCGTGATAAATTTGTTGACCCCCCCCCTAAAGTGTCACGTGATTTATGGACGGCCCCTAAAGCGCGCGTGAAGTTTCTTGTTTCACTTTTAACATATATATTATAACAATAATGTAATTTTTACATTACATGTCACATGAAAATTAATGAAAGCGTGAATGCCAATAAGAAGATAATGAAAAATATGTTCATTACATTATTTTTGACTTATTAATTATCAAAAATAAATTACATTTAATTACAATTAATTATTTATTTGTTATTTTGTTTCTAATAGTTTTGTAGTCAAAATTAATTAATATTATTTTCATGTCATTAACATTCAAAAATTCAATTATTCTGAAGAATTCTACACAAAATCACTATTTTTCTAAATTTATTCAGGGAAATCAGAAAAAAGTCAGAAAATTTTGTCAAAAGTGCTGGAATAATATTCAATTTCAAGAATTCATAAGAAAATTCTGAATGTTATTGTTCAGCATTGAAAAGATTTTATATATTTCAAACTCTTCCTGTTTTTAACAATAATTAGACTTTGCAGATTTAAAAGTGATTTTCTTAAATAATTTAATTTTTAAAAAACTATCGAGAAAAAATTATTTTTTATTAATTATTTTGGAATAATTTTTTATTTAAAAATTAAAAAAATAATTGAATTTTATGAAATTTGTACACTGAGAAAACTGGAGTATTGGACTAAACATCTGGAGGGACAAATCGTTGATATTTGAGAGTTAGCTATTGGATAACAATCTAAATGTTCAAATACACCATTGACAGATATTCTTGCCATTTCTCTTGGAGGGAAAATGAGTTTATAACAGAGGGACAAATTTAACCATCTTGAGAAATCCCTTTCTTATCCGGCGCGAAATGAATAAATATGGCAACCTAACCCCTAAATTAAATACATAAAATGTCAGAAAAATAATTTCGCGCGCATCAGATCGTACACATTTTCTGCGCAACTTTTAACCCTCAGATATAATGGGAGAGAATATACAAGTAGATTTCCATTATCAATTCAAAATTTATTTTAGAAGGACTATTCAACTCTCTTCATAAGCAAAGAAAACATACACTTTTTGAACCTCTGAATTTGACTCTCCAGTTTTCTCAGTGTATTTAAAATTTTTTTATAAATAATATGTATAAATAAGTAGTAAATGTCACGCTTGCCAAACAAAGTATTTAATTTATTATTATCATTACTCAAAAGAAATTCGATTATCTTTACAAAATTTCAATAAAAAATTCTTCGAAAAATTTATGAAAAATTACAAAAATGTTATCTTTTGAAATTATTACAGGTGACATAGCAGCTAAAAAAACGCGCGTGTAGTTTCTCCTAGTATTAATAGATAATTAATAATAATGCCTATTAACAATAAAAACTGGTACTTAATCACAAAAATAATTCAAAAATTAAAAAAAATTTCGTTAAAAATTGAAATTTACAAAATATATATCACTGCTTTGCTAACTTTGCAAAAAATTTCATATTTGATATTTGTGCCTTCAAAAAATGAATTTAAAAATTGTTTTGATAAAATTCTTTATCAGACTTAAATTTTAAGAAATTGTAATTATTCAATAAATTATTTTTTTCTGCATTTAAATTATTGAATTATCTAATAAAAATTTATTTAAAAATGAATTTCAGTTAAAGTTCTACATATATATAATAATTGAATATTAAAAGCATTATAGCATGAATGAATTTTAAGAAATAATTAAATTTTAAAATGGTTCCAAATCAAATTCTTTAAAAATTTGTATTTTTCATACTTATAACTAACAATTCTGTAGAATTAATTATTTTAAAAAAGTTTAATTGAATTTTTTTCTGAAATTATTTGAAGTATTTATTTTTTAATTCGTATTTAGTTGAAGAATTTCTGAATAATTTAAATTTCGTAAACAAATGTATTTTAAAATTCTCAAAGAACTTTTTTCAAAAATTATTAAAAATAATTTATTCCTGTGGGAAAATAATAATGATTAAAATTTATTTAGAAAAGAAGTTATTGATGTTTTCAAATAATTTTAGAATTAAAGAAATTCGTAAATAAATTTAATGTAACATTTCTTGGAGTATCTAATCATTTTTAGAGTTAATCAGAATATTCTTTAGAGTCTAGGAAGAAGTCAAAATTTTGTCAAGTAATAAAGTTTTTCATATTAAAAAAAAGAAAATATTTCACAGGTTTTACATTTGTTAATTTTTTAAACTGTTTGTTACAAAATGCTAATTTTTTAGAAACAAAGGAAATAATGAATAATATAATAATATTAATAATTTTTTTAGATTAATAAAAATATTTTTGAATTATTTAAGAAATAAAAATAATATTATTAAATTAAAAGAATAATAACAAAATAAAGAAATGTAATATTATCTATCAAAACATATAAAAAAACAAAAGCATGAATTTTTTTAAAAAATCGTTATTTCATATTTTATTTCTATTTTTTATCAAAACGAATAAAAAACAAAAGAATAACCATGACTAACTTCAGGTGTGGACAGACTGGACAGAATGAATACGACGATTATTATAGTTAATTATAATAATAATTTAAAATTCAATACAGGAACCACTGTTTGATAACAATTGTGTTGTATTAGCTTCAAGATATAGAGGTTGCGAAAAACAAAACCTTCAAGTTATAGAGGTTTAAAAGGGCCGTATGTACTAACTTCGAGTTATAGAGGTTTAAATACATGGAAAAGTTGTTGAAGGGAAATTAAAATTACTTAGAGTTATAGAGGTTGCAAAGTTCGAGTTACAGAGGTTTTTGGGCTTCTAGGGAAGGGAATGGACATTTTCTTCGACTTATATAGAGGTTCTCGACTTATCGAGGTTCTACTGTACATTTCTCTTGCAAAATTTTTGCTTCATTAGATAAGTTGTAAGTAATTAATATAGTTTTAAATAAAATG